ATAAAATTTAAAAAAAAAAAAAAAGAATTTGTTATTAAATTTAATAAATATATTATAACAATGTTTATTATATTTGGAAATTTAAAAAAAAAAAAAAAAAAAGGGAATATGGAAATATAAAAAATTTAAAATAAAAAAAAATAAATAAATAATTTTCAATAATTTGTAATTTATTAATAAAAATAATTAAAAAGTGTGTTAAAATATACAAATAAATATTTACCACACTTTTACTTTTAAGTTGTGATATAACTATTCTTTACAATTTTATACATACATAATAAAAAAAAAATAAAAAAACAATTTTATATTAATTATTTTTTATTTTTTTTATTATTTTTTATTTTTTTTTATTTTTTTTTATTTTATTTTTTTAAAATTGAACAATTTTCTTTGAACAGATACACCACGTGTATGAAATTTTATTTTAATTTTGGTATTTATATAAATTTTTTTATTAATTTAAATTAATTCATCAAAAAACAAAACACAACACAAACAAAAACAAATGGTAACTATTTATCTGTTTAATATTATTATAATAATATAAACTAACTTTTATAAATATTATAATAATAATTTAGAATATTGTTGATTCATATATCGATGAAATTAAAGATAATTTAGATTCTTTCGAGGGAAATTTGAATATAATTAATAAAAATAAGAACAATAATGGTTTCGAAATAAATATATATATTAAAAAGATAGATGAACTTATACAAGCCATAGAATCAGATATATCATCATTAAAATTGGAATATAGCAGTAATAAAGGTGGAGATATAAATAAAGATCAAAATATAAAACTATTGTTTCAAAAATACGATCAATTAAAACTACAATATAACAAAACTAAACTATTAGACAGTAGGAATAGCAACACATTCAGAGACGAGGATGGTAAACTAGTAAAGCTAAATTATAATGGTAACGACACCAAAGATAAAGTTGCAAGACTTAATAAAATCCATGAAAACAATTTACAAATGATAAAAGATGCAAGAGTACAACTATCAAATATGACAAATACAGCAATTGAGACAAATATGGAACTAAAAAGACAAACTGAACAAATGAGAGGAATGGAAAAGAAATTTGATGAAATTGATGCATCCCTCGATCAATCAAAAAAAACTGTAGATAAAATGTCCAAGAGATGGTTTTAAAAAAAAGGCAATATATTTTAATAATATTATAAACTATATCTTTTTTTAGTAAAAGGTATATTCTCCAATTGTACAATAAACAAGAAATGCAAACCTGTAGAATTTTTTTTTATAATTTATAAACTATATTTTTTTTTTTTATATTTTTTTTTATTTTTATTTTTTTATTTTTTTTTTTAGCTGTTTATTTATTTATTTTTTATTTGTTTCTTTATGTTATTTAATTAAGTTTTAAACCTTTTCCAACTTTTGGAATAGTTTTGATATCGACTTTTTCACCGAATGAAACCTTCTTTGGTGAAACAGATGCAGCAACGGCAGCTGGTTTTTTGGCTGATTTTTTGGTGGTTGGTTTTTCAGTAGTGGTGGTAGTAGTGGCAACAACAGCTGGCTCTTCGACTTTTTCTTCATTGCCCTTAAGTTTTTTTAATACATTTTCTTTTCTATTAACTGCAGTTTGTTTTTTGCTTTGTTTTTCTTCTGCTTTTGATTCAAATTGTTGGTTCTTTTTCTTTTCATTTACAATTTTTTGATTTGCTTTCTTTTCTTGATTTTCTGAAATTTCGTTCATAATATTTAAAGCTGATTCATCATTAATAAATTTCTTTTTCTTTTGAGTGGTGGTGGTGGTAGTTTTTTCCTCTTCTTCTTCAACAGCTTCTTCGTCTTGTTGTTCTTCTTGAGTTTCAATTTCTTTTTGAACGATTGGTTGTTGTTCTACTTTTTGTTTTTTGATTTGTTTTTTATTTTGTTTTGGTTTTTCTTTTTCTTCTTCTTTTTCTTCGTTATCGACCTTTCTCTTTTTATTTGTGTTTTCTTTTTGGTTTGGTTGTTGTGGTAATTTGCTAACGATTGGGATGAAAACAGTTAAAGTGTTGCCATCAAATGAACATTCAGTTTTAGTATCATCAACAGTAACATTTTCTGGGTATTCAACATCTAAAAGATATTTTTTGGTGTGTTTTAATGTATCTAAATGGAATCTTTTTGGTTTAGTTTCTAAACTAATGAATTTTTCTGGAATTTTGTGAAGAGTGATTGTAGCTTTAATTGATTTTTTATGATAATTAATTTTAATTGAATGTGGTGGAACAATTGGTTTCATATGATTGTTTACTTGTTTGTTTTCAACTTCCTCTACTTCTTGAACAACTGGTTTTGAAATTGGTTTAGCAGCAGCTGGTTTTGAAACTTTTTTAGCTGCGACTGCTGTTGATTTGGCAGTAGTAGTGTTTGAGGCTGGTGCAACTGCCTTTTTAACAACTTTTTTTTCTGTAGTTTGTTTAGCAACAACCATTTTCTTTATTTGATTACTATTATTACTTTATAAAAAAATAAAAAAATTTTAAAAAAAATTTTAAAAATAATTGTTTTTTAAAAAATTTCGTTTTTTTTAAAAAATAAAAAATAAAAAATAAAATATTTTTTTTTAAAAAACGAAAAACTATTTATCTAATTTGAATTCTATTATTATTAAATTAAATAAAATTAACAAGTTGTTGGAGAAAATTAAGGAAAGATTAATTATCAAATTAAATGAGATTAAAAACTCCACTTTTTTTTTTTTTTTTACTCCATTTTTTTTTTTTCTTTTAAAATTTTTTTTTTTTTTTTTTTTTTTTTTTTTTTTTTTTGTTTATTACTTTAATGCTTTTAAGAAAAATTCATATAATGTTATTAGGGGTGATTTTTTGATTATAAAATAACCAAGGGTTATATACAATTATAAACCTTATTTGAGTTATATGATTCAGAATAAAAACAAAAAATGGTGAAATTTTTTTTTGAAAAATAAAAATCCACACCGTTTTTTTTCCGTTCAGAGCATAATTACACCACACTTGTGAAATTTTATAATAATATTTTTTAATATAATATAAAAGTGATGTGATACTCCCTTAACAAAAATAATTGTTTAATTAAAAAAAAAAAAATTTTTTATATAAATACCCTATACTTTTTTTTTATTTTTTTTTATTTAATTAACAATTTCCATAGTAATAGGTTACATGTAATAGTTTATATGTAATAGATTATTTGTTATAATAATATATTCTATTTAATCATATTCATTAATAATAATTTTATTACACTGATTTAAAATGAATAAAATAATTTTATTTTTATTTTTAATAAACCTATTAATCATACCAACTTTTGGGAACTCAACACAACTATGCATATTATGTAAGTTTCAAGTAAAGCAAATTGACAACTTTAGAAGAAACGGTTATTATGAACCATTACACAATATAGATCCAACAATTAAGGTAATATTTGTTTTTTTTTTTTTTTAATGAAAAGTTTTTTTTTTTTTCATTGCTTACTAATTAAATTTATAATATAGGTTTCCCTCCATTCTTTTAAAGAAAAAAACTCTGAAAAAGTATTGACAATGCTTGGGGATGGTTGTAGTATCACAGAAGTTTGTAAAAAGCTCTATCAATGTTTTTAAAAATAGTAAATTGTAATGCTGCTACTAATCAATAGTGAGGTTTGGGTTGTTTCAAGTGATATTTGATAAATCTTTGTATATTTGAAATTAAAAAATTAAAGTTTTTTTTTTTTTCCCAACAATTCAGGTAAAAAAAAAAAAAATAAGTCCAATTTTACAAAAAATAAAATAAAAACGATAGTTATGATTTTTCATACAAACAGATATTTTTTTTATTATTAATTTTATTGTATTATTTTGATAAGTTACAAATAAAGGCAATGGGGAAAATTAATCTTGATTTCAGATTATTCATATAATTGTCTTAATTTTTTTTTATTTTTTTTTATTTTTATTTTTTTTAAAAAAAATTTTTATTTTTTTTTTATTTTATGAATTTTTTAAACACCACCACTCACACTATTTTTTTTTTTTTAAATAATTTATATATTTATTAACCATAACAGCATTTATTTAAAACCACACAAATATAACTATTCATTTTTATATATAAATATATATATTTATTATAGTAAATAATATAAAAATATCATTTTATTTGAATTTTTATTAATAAAATAAAATAAAATAAATAGTATTGTTTCCATATCCATTAATACTTTTATAAATAGTGTGGAATTATTGTGTGTTTTGGTGTTTATATATCTTTTTCATTATGTTTCTTTTATTATAAAATATTTTCTTTTTTTTTTTTCTATTTTTTATTTTTTATATTTTTTTTTGTTTTGTTTTTAAATTAAAAAATAAATAATATATTATCCAATAATAATAACAATTAAAATTTTCAAATAAATAGTAATAATAATAATAATAATGGAGCCTAATAAAAGACCACCAGTTCCTTCTTCATCGGTCATCCGATCAAATGAATATAGATAATAAAGAAAAAAGAAAGAGGTATGTAAAAAAATGATTTAAAAATCATTAGATTTTATATTAACAATTTTTATTATTTTGTAGTGTATCATTATTTGGTAAAGAAAAGACAGAGTTAGAAAAATTAAAAGAGCAAGAAAAACAAAGATATAAAGACGAAAAAAAGAAAGAAAAGGAATTAGAGAAGAAATTAAAAGAGGAAAAGGAAAAAGAGGAAAAAGAAACAAAACAAAAATTGAAAGAGCAAGAAAAGAAAATACAGAAAGAGTTAGATTTTGAGGAAAAAGAAAGAAAAAAGCAAAAAGAAAGAGAAAAAGAAGAAAAAAAAAGAATAGAAAAAGAATTAAAAAAGCAAAATAGGAAATCAAATAAATTAACTAGTGGTACAAATACTGCAACTGCTAGCGAAATAACCAACACTGATGATGTTAGCGAGATTACCGATACCTCAACTTACTCAACTAGATCGATCGATTTTGAAGATCATTTTGGTACCACAAGCTTAAAAAGTGCACCAGGTAATTTCTCCACAAACAGCTCTTTAAAAGAAAAAGATAAATCCAAAAGGTCATCAATTATCGATATTATGAAAAAGTTGCATGTGTCAAATCATAGTAGCAATAATAATACTTTAGCTGTGGCTGGAAATCAAATGATTAATAGTAATAATAATAGCAGCTCAGATACAGAAACTCCACCAATGGGTACAAGTAAATCGACACCAACATCCCCAACCAAAATTGGTTTTTCTACAAGTTACAATAGTAATTTGGGCTCACAGATGGCTAAAAATTCACTTTTTCCTTTAGGTCAGCATAGAGGTAATCAAGATGTTTTTACTGGTTCAAGCAGCTTACCAAATCAAAGTGGACTTCATTCATATTCTGAAAATGATATAACTGAATCGGATAACACATTGTCGAGCGCAACTGCAAATACTGTTGTAGAGGTTCCAAGCCTATCAATCGATCCACCCTCTGATAACACTTTATCATCTGGGTCATCAAATAATAATAATATCAATAATGATAACAACAAATCACCAATCCAACAACATTTATTAAAATCACCACCTAATACAACAACATCTCCATTTAATGTATCAACACCAAGTACACCATCTAATAATGATAACTCACCTACACTTAGCTCATGTTCATCTTCACCCACTACATTTGTTAGTCACTCTCCATCCTCAAATTCAAATGCATTTTTATCAAATATTAATCACAATTTAAATTTTGAATCACCATTATCATCACCACCACTTCTTGGCAACAATAATAATATTTTTAACGAAGAGGTATCTGCAGAAACATTACAAAAATCATTAATATGTAAAAGAAAAATGGAAGATTTTTATAGCTATCTATTTGAATGTGAAAAAAATTCAAGATATAATCCACTATTAAATAAAAGAAAAATTAGTCAAAAGAAATCAATATTAGAGGACTCTTTAATAAATAAATTAAAAAACAAACCACCAGCATTCAAAAGCTTTTTATTTGGCAACCAACAGCCACAAGATAGTTCAACAACAAATAATAGCAATACTGAAAATAATACAAGTTTCCATAATCATATACTTAATAAATTTCATCGTGATCATAAAAGAAGTTATTCAACAAATACACCATCATCAAACTCAACAACAGCAAATGATACCAATCCGACCAACTCACCAATTTTAAGTGGATCAACTCATCATGCACAATCACTTTCAGCATCGAACCTGGAGTCTGCAATTTTTGATTCAGATTTAAAGAACAAGAGAAAGAGTTTATTAAAGAGAAAACTTAATCCCAATAGACTATCATTAACACTATCTCATAGTACCAATAGAAATATATCAAACAATTTAGAATCGGTCCCAAATACATACAGTAACGATACAACCAATAACTCATCCAATAATAGTCCAAATCTATCAAGTAGTAATAGTGGCGCCCCAAATACAAAGCAACCATTTAATATATTACCATCATTTGATGGTGGAAGATTAAAAAAGATTCAAACCAATATTAAGGGTCTATTTAATGATGGTATTCAAATGCCAACTATTCAAATGCCATCTTTCCCACAACTAAAAAAGAAAAGAGATATATTTTCATTTAGTGGCCATAAAAAGAAAGATTTTAATGACAGTAATAAATCTGATTTCAAACGTTCAACAAGTACATTATCAAAGAATATAAACTCTGTATTAGATGCCATATCTATGGATAATGATGAAATTAGAAGTAGCAGTGATAGTATCGCACCTCCAAGACCCAGAAATAGAGCACTCTCAAAAGCCTATAGAAAAATGCTCCAACTCACACCAAAGGTTATTGAACTCCATGACATCACGTTGATGAGTAACCGTTTAGAAAATAAAATATTACAAAGAGAAAAAGAATTAGACGAACTAGAAAAGAAATCCAACCAATTCAAAAAAGAGCTTTTTGAAAACTATAATAAACTTTTGCAGGCATCTGATACATCAAAAGAATTTGTAATTGCAAATCAAGATAGATCCTATCAAATTCAATCTCAACTAGATAAAACCAAACCATATATAGATTTAACCTATAACTCCATAACGAATTTATTTGAAAAATCAAAAAATTTAGAAAATACCGTTCAACTTTTAAAAAGAACTAAAAAAACCTCACCATTAACAGCATTTCTTTTTAAATTTTTCATGATTTCATATTTTACTCAATTTTTTTATTCATTTTTAAATTTATTAAAGAAAAACAATAATAATAATAGTAATAATATAAATAACAACAGTAACAGTAATAATAATTTTAGTTTATTAAATAATAACAATAATAGTAATAATAATTTAGAATATTACGAACCAATATTCAATGATGACTCGAATAATTTAAGTAGTGTTAATAAAAACAATAATGTAAATAGTAATAATAATAATAATAATAATAATATAAATAATAGTCAAGAAAATATTGAAAACAATATTAGCATTACCACCAATATAGACAGTAACCATTTAAATAATTTTAATAATACTAATAACAAAATTAAAGCAGATAGTAGTAATAAAATTGATATAAATGAAATGGATATTGTCAAACCATCTAAAAAAGTCCCTACAATCAATGTACCCGATTCAAATATCGATAAAGATACAGAGGTATCTCCAAGCTACCACAATAACAATAGCAATAATAATAACAATAATAATCAGAAAGTAATGAAAATTGCTAAATTCAATCTGGAGGCAATGAGCAAATCAATTGCCAAAATGAGAGAAATAGATGACCAAGATTTTGCAGACTATTAAAAAACAAAAATAAAAATAAAACCATATTTAAATATGCATATGCATATGTAATGTAATTTATATTATCGTTACCAAACCAAATATAAGTAATTTAAAATTAAAAAAAAAAATAAATTACATTCGCAATCAATTTATTTTAATTTAAATAAAATTATTTATTTAATTAATTTTTTTATTTTTTTTTTTTTTATTTTTTTATTTTTTTATTTTTTTATTTTTTTTTATTTTTTATGTTTAAAAAAGGGTACAAAACGACATTTATATGAAAAATCATTGTTGTGTAATTATGATGATAAAAAAAAAACAGGTGCCCTCGTTATTTTTTTTAATTTTTTTTTAATTTTTTTTTTTTTTTTTTTTTTTTTTTAATTTTTTTTGCACTAAATTTTTTTTTTTTAAAAAACGTGTTCTTTTTTTTTTTTTTTAGTTTGTAATAACAAATAATTAAATAAATAAATAAACAAGATGTCCACTCCAATGCCAGTCGGTAACGTTGCTAACGGTGAAACCTTATTCAAAGCCAGATGTGCCCAATGTCACACTGTCAACAAAGTATGATCAGATTTAATTTTTGTAAAATAAAAAAAAAAAAAAAAAAAAAGTGTAAAATACTAATCAATATATTTTATATTTATTTTTAACTTTTTGTAATTTAAAAAAAAAAAAAAAAATAAATAAAATTTTAATAATTTAGGGTGGTGTCAACAAACAAGGTCCAAATCTCTATGGTCTTTTCGGTCGTAAATCAGGTTCAGTCGAAGGTTACTCATACTCAGAAGCCAACAAAAATGCTGGTAAGTAATCAAGTTATTAGTTTCATTTGTAGATATATTGGATATAGGTTAAAGTTTAGTGTGGATTGTGATAAAGATAAAACAAATAAAAAGAAAAAGAATCTAAACATTATTCAAAACAAATACTCATTTTTTAATATTTTAAATCAATAGGTATCATGTGGGGTGAAGATACTCTCTTTACTTACTTAGAAAACCCAAAGAAATTCATTCCAAAAACTAAAATGGTAATTATTATTTATAATAAAATATAATGTATTAATCAGTGAATAAAGATCACATTTATTAACCTTTTTTTTTTTTTTTACTCATTAAAGGCCTTTGCTGGTTTCAAATCAGCTCAAGATCGTGCTGATACCATCGCTTATCTCCACAAAGAATCCACCGCTTAAATTGATTAGTTTAATTTTAAAAAAAAACATCACTTTATGTTTAAATTTAAAAAAATAAAATAATAAAAAAAAATATTAAAAATTATTAAAAATAATTATACACAAGGAATAAAACATATTTATTTAAATCACTCATCATCACCAACATATCAAAATCAGTGTGGTCAATAATTCATAAAAGTTTAGGTATTTTGGGGAATCAGTTAAAAAAAAAAAAAAAAAATTTCAGAGTGGGTGTTCCTATTTTGGAGAATAAAATTGATTAAATTGTTTTGAATGAATTAGAATCTCAAATAATATCAGTATTATTAATAACAGTTAATAAAACTATATAATAGCACAAAGAATTGTTAAAACAAATCATTTTTGCCCAATATTCCATCATAAATCCCAGTTTAGGAATGAGAAAACACACCAGGGTTTAAACAGCACTATTGTCGTCTTTCTTAAGCTTACATAATTAGCAATACCATTTCACCACTACCATCAAAGTGACCAATATTTATAGTTTCCAACATTCAAAAAAATCAATTTCTGTTAAAAATCAAAGGGCATCATTATTTTGAAACAATATTATTATTCCAAAAAAATAAAAAAAAAAATAAAAAAAAAATCTTTTTTTTTTATTTTTTTTAAATTTATTTTTTTAAAAAGATTCGTTATTATTTATCCATCCATTTTATAAAAATAATACTAATAGTTATTTAAATTAAATAATAATAATAATGTTATAAATTAAAAAAAATATAATATAATGTTCAAAAAATTAATTTTTATATTTATTTTAAATTTTTTAATTGAAATTTCTAAATCAACAACACTACCGGGGTTATTCAATGTAATAGGTCCATTCACGATTGGAGAAAGAGAAGAAACTTTTGATAGTTTAGAATCCTATGGCGGAATTTTCAGTATTCCAATTGGGGATAATACAACATATCCATCAGAGTTTGGACACAATGGAGTGGTTGGATGGAGACAATTCAATTCATCTATACCGGGCCAACTAGAAATTGATTGGAGCGATACTATAGATTGGTCTTTTTATGACACACCGTTTGGATGGGAAATATATTTATGGTATGCTTACGCTGTTGGTGATTTCCAATCCACAGAGGGTTCAAATTATATTGTTAATTGTAATTCAGCCCGTACTTTTTATATTCAAACCTTGAGTTCAGTTCCAGGTACACCAAGTGTTATTAAAGAATTTACAGGCGATTTTTACAGTTACGGAAATGGCCAAAATATTGTTAGTTTAGAAGCTGGCCAAAACTACCGTTTTTATGTTAAAATGATTAGCAGCACAAGAGATAATCTATCACCTTTAGGTAAATTCGCATGCCAATTAACACCAGTTCCAATATATCAGGTTATCACATTAATAGAGACCGAATCTTTGGTTCCAGACATAGTTGGCACAATTTTAGCAAGTCCTTATGGTTCAATCACAGTTATCAATTCTGGTAATAGCGATTTATTTGGTATTTCGGTTGTTTTAGCAAATAGCTCATTATCATTGTTTAATCTTAATATTTCAAATAGTGCAAATGGTAACGGAACATTTAACATATTGGTTGGTCAAAGATTATCAATGTCTTTTGAAATTGAAATTAAATCAGACAGTACACAGTTAGAATGTCCAATGTTTTTAGAGTTAAATTTGGTTGGAAATTCCACAATAATTTTAAATAATATCAACATACCATTCAATTGCTCAAGTTTTGAAAGCCCTTATCTCTTCACATTTTTAGACTTTGATAATACTGTTCAATATGCTATGGCAATCCCACCAATTAATACTTGTGGTAATTCATCCGAACTTTGTAATATTATGCTAGCAACACATGGTGCTAATGTTGTTGCAGCAGATCCATCATGGACTAGTGTTCTTCCACGTCAAAATAATCTTTGGGTACTCGCTCCTACAGGTAGAACCCCATGGGGATATGACTGGGGTTCTTCAAGCCGTTTAAATGTATTTAATGCTATTGACGCATTAGTCACCCAATTACCAGGTGTACCATTATCTCAAAAGTCACTATATAAAACAGATGGAACCAAAATTATTTTTATTGGCCATTCTATGGGTGGTATGGGATGCTGGTCCTTACTCTCAAGACAAGGTGATTTGGCTTTGGGTGGTGCATGTGCTTCAGGTTTTAGTAAGCTTGAGCTTTATTTACTATATGATACCGCACCAGGGTTTGCTTATATTGACCAAACCTTAAAAGGAATTTTAATGTCGTCAATCGAAGAGAATAATGTTGATTTAATATCAAGTAATTTGGTTGGTTTACCATTAATGGCAAGATATGGCGAGAACGATACAGTTGTTAATCCATACCACTCACGTCGTATTGTTAGAATGGTCAGCGAACAAAGTCAAAATGAAACAGCAGTTATGATTAGCGAAGAGCCAAATGCAAATCATTGGTTTAACGGTATTTTAAATGATAGTTTTATGCAAAATTTTTATAACATCTTAGCTTCAAATAATCAATATTTACCAGATATACCCAAGACCATAACTATTAGCACATTAAATCCAGCATCATCAGGTTCAAGAGCAAACATTTTAATTCTTCAACAAAAGCAACCATTTAGAATTTCAAAAATAAAATTAACTCAAGTCTATGAAAAATCACAATTGGTTTGGATTATTGAAACATCCAATGTTAGAAGATTTGCTATTACCCAAACACCTATACGTCAACAATTCCCAGTAGAGTTAATTATTGATGGTTCTTCATTTAATAACAATTTCTTTTACCCAGATTACCATTTCGAAAATACCAAAGACAATACAAATAAGAAATATTGGACTTTATCAAATGATAACTCGACATGGATCGAGAATGAAAGGAATCCACTTACAAATGGACCAATTAGACAAATCTTTGAAAAGAATTTCAAGATCATTTATGGCACAATTGGTCAAGGTTCAGCTACAGCCCAATTAAAGCAAGGATCAGTTTATATAAACAATTTTTGGAATAACTATGGTAGAGGTTCAGCACCAATATTTTCAGATGTAGATTATATACCAATTTATTCAAACGAGGTGTGCAGTGAAAATCAAAATTTAATTTTATTGGGTTCAAGTTATCAAAATCTTTTTACTGAAAAATTAATTGAAAGAGCAGATGTTTCATTCAATATAGATAACTCTTTTACATTGGATAAAAGCTATGAGTTTAGTACACCAGGTTCAGGAATAACATTTATTATTCCAAATTCATGTGGTAAAGGTTTGGTTTTAGTCGTTGCTGGTATTGATAGCGTCGGTTTCGAAAACGCTTTACATTCATTACCAAAAAGAAGTGGAGAGGTTTCACCAGACTTTCTTATAGTTGGTCCAGAGTACCGAGGTAAAGGTTATGGCGGTATTTTATCTGCTGGATACTGGTCAAATAATTTCACACTCAGTCCGCAATCATTTTATACAAGCACAATTTAAAAGGAAAAATGTAATAATAAAAATAAAACAAAAATTAAAAATAAAATAGAGTATTGTTTTTTAATATTTTAAAAAGGTACTTTAAAGTACTTTATTATTCATTAAAACATCAATAATGGGATTAACTAAATCTAAAGTAAATTTGTATGGTGGGAAATTTTGTGAGAATTCGTAAAGATATTTTAGCATTTGTAAATATTGATCTGTTTGTTGAGGAGTTAGGTCGTTTTTTGAGGAAATTGGGTTCTTTGTAATGTTTATATAGATTGGAGATTTACCACTTTTAAAAACAGATAGATCCAAACGAGAGGATAAATATTTATATATTTGATTTCTGAGTATAGTTTGACCACATAATAATCGAAATTGGGTTTGGTTTTTATCTTGGAGGAAATTATTTAATTGTTCGCATTCTGGTTCGGTCATTGGTGTACCCTCTAATGAGTAATTCATTACTTTATTCTTTGAAAGCTCTTTAATGATACTGGTGGTAGTTGATTTCCAAATTACAATGAAGGCATCTAAATTAAAGTTACCTGTTATATTCTCTAAACGAAACTCTTTAATTAATTTATCCATTAATTCAAAGTGGTAGTTCTGGGTAATAAATTTTGCTAGTTCCATCTGTTTTGCAAAAGATTGTCGAATATCATTGAGTGTAATGTATGATGTCCAGATTTCGTATAGTCTTTGTGGAGTTGCTTTTAATGGGAATAGATTATCTTTGTTGCTCACTATTGTATCATAGTATCTTTGAAATTCTATCTTTTGGTAGGATAGCTCTGATCCGGCTGAGTTGTAAAAGGCCATCATTTGATTGTATTGATTTGTATTTGGTGTGGTAATGCTCTTATAGAGTTTGGTTAATTGTTTATTTAGAGTACTGATAAAAAGATTAGGGCTATCTAAATATTTTAATGTGATTTGTAAGGTTCGTGCAAGATCGCCATTAAGATTACTAAAGGTTGTTGGAATAAATATTTGCCTGTATTTTTTAACAAATGATCGAATAACACCCTCAGTTATTAAATAGGGGTGAGTTGAATGATATGGTAAAAGCTTTTGACTGTACAATTCGAATAATTTGGTTTCGATGAAATCTTTGTTCCTTGTACCAAATATATAATTGAGATCGTTTTCATAACTTAAGGCTAATTGTTCAAGCTCTTCCTCTTTGAAATTATGAATAATGGTTTCAATTTGGTCGAAAAATACAAATGGTTGCTTTAGGAAACGCTTTGAATTGATTAAATTAAACTCTTGATAGCGATTTGGTAATCTTTTCTTTATTAAATCTAAATATTCATCGGGTATATTAGGCGACAAAACAGATAGATCTATAGCTTCAATAAGTAAATTGGCTATTGCTTGACAGTTGGTGGATCTACCACTACTTTCTAAAAATTTAATAGTATCCATAATAAAGTAATCGATAAAATTCTTTTGTGATAATATTTCAACACAGTACCCATTGACAACTTCTTTTCTTTCTTCTTTTTTGAAAAATACTAAAACATTGGTACGATAATATCTATCTTCTGTACAAGTACCATCCAAATCTTCACTTTGGACATCATAGGGTTTAATATTGGCTAATGAACCAAAGGGCAATACTTCGCTATACTTTTCTGTTACCATATTGACATCAATAAAAACTTCCCTGTCATCTATAAAGTTACAGAGTGCTTGTTGGCTTTCTTTTTCGACTTCAATAAAATCTTTATTGCCCTCATTGTTTCTATTATTGCTATCATTACTGTCACTTTCATCAGATTCACCGTTTGGTTTTTTTGGTTTAGATCTAGTTGCTATATTTGGTCTGTTAGATGTTGTGGTTGTTGTGGTTGTTGTTGTGGTTGTTGTGGTTTTATAATTATTATAGCTGTAATAGTATCTTCGTTTTGATTTGTATCGTTTTGACTCTTCATCTTCGCTATCGTTGTCAGATTTCCATTCCCCTAGATTATCTGCTATACTATTGTAGTTGCTATTATTGTTTTTATTGTTATTTATATAACCTATTGCACTTTCTTGAATATGTAGTTCCGCAAGAAAAACATATAAGCCAATTTTTTTTGAAACTTGAAGTAATCTATTTGCTACATTCTTATCTCTTCCAATTAAATCTCTAAAACATACTATATCGCTTGGTTTCTTTGGTTGTTCCTCTTGTTGATCGCCATTAACTTTAAGGTTTTTTGATTTTATTTTATTTTTTATATTTATAAAACTATCGTTCGGGGTTGATTTTCTTTTTAAATTATTTTTATTATTATTAATTTTTTTAATTTTAAAATTATGATTCTCGTTATTATCATATTTTAAATAATCGTCATAGTTTATTGATTCTTCACCATCACTATTGCTACTATCATTGTTATTATTATTATTATTATTTTTATTTTTATTTTTATTATTATTATTATTATTATTATTATTATCGTTACAGGTTTTATTTAAATAGTCATTTTCTAGTACATAGATTAATTTTAAACCCTTTTCAACTGATAATAAATTATTAATTTCTTCAGATAGCTTTGGAACTACTGGGTCCTCATTTAATAAATCCTTGTAATATGATAATGAAATATTTTCAACAAGATTCTCTTTGTTATCATTTAAAACTTGAACTAAACTGTAATCCAAAGCAACTTTGAAACCGCTTGTAACTTTGCCGCCCTGAACCAAACACTCTGAATAAAATGCAGTATATTTAATTGAATTTTCTTTTATATTATTGGTTGCCAGTGTAACTGAATCACCAATTTGATCAGAATGCCCAATTGTTAATTCACCACCTTCTGATTCACCAGCTGGTAATAAAATTTGTAAAGATCCAAAAACATTGTGACCATCTGAATGGTGTTGATTATTTTCTATTGGAATTTGATATGCACTTCCTTCACCATAAATTATTAATTTGTTTAGTTTTGCTTTGATATTTTCGCTTTTTAATATACCAAAATCGTTTTTGACCCTTTCTAAAATTTGTTCCATTAATTTATTTCCATTTTCAAATGCCTCTATATCTATAACGTTTGATGGAATTTCATAAACTAAAAAAATAAATTAAATAATATTAGTATTTTATTAATAAAATAAAATAAATTAATTTTTTTTTTTTTATTTTTTATTTGAGGTTATTTTTAGATTTTTTTTTTTTTTTAAAAAAATAGAAAATTTTTTAAAATTTTTTTTTTTGAGAATCGAAAAATATGGGCACAAAAAAACTATTGGACCAATTTTTAGTGTATTAAAAAACAAAAAAATAAAATAAAATAAGAATATATGAAACTACTTACTCTCTTTTTTATCTTGAGAATCTTGTTCAATTTTATCATTTTCCAATTTTAAAACCAATTCTTTTATTTCTGAATTATCATATGGTGGTTGAAATTCTAAATTGTCATTATTATTTATATTTATTGAAATTGGTGGTAAATTTTTTAAATCTATTGAACCATATGAATAATAAGAGTGTTTAGGCTTAACTATACTAATACTTGAACCAATAGTATTATTATCTTTTTGCAATAGTTTGGTTAAATTAAAATAATCATAATATTCATTATTATTTAAAAAAACCATTGTAATTTAATTATTTTAATTATTTTATTTTATTTTATTTTAATTATTATTTATATTATTATTATTTATATATTATTATAATTTTTATTTTAATTATTATTATTATTATTATTATTTATATTGTGATTATTTCTGTTGTTTTGATTTTTTTTTTTATTTAAATAAATATGTTATTGGGTATAGTTTTTATAGAATGATTTTTTTTTTTTTTTTTTTTTTTTTTATTTTGTTTTTTAAAATAATTTTTTTGAAAAACCAAAACCTAAATTAAAAAAAAAAAACTAAAAAAAATTGGGGAAAAAAAAAAAAAAAAAATATTTTTATTATTTAAAATAAATAAATAATAATAAATAGTTTATATATTTTAAAGTGTTGAATGTTATTTCTTGAGATGCGTGGCGTGGACCTTTTTTTTATTTAAACCTTAAAAAAAAAAAAAATGAATCCTCTCTCAAATAGAAAAAAAAATTATATTTTTAAATAATTTTTTTTTTTATTTTTTTTTTATTTTTTTTTTTTTCATTTTTTTCATTTTTTTTTTTTTTAATTATTTTTACAATTTCAATTTAAAAAAAAAATCTTATTTAAAAGAATTCAGAAACGAAAATTTTGAATTAAATACAAAATTAAATTATTGGAAATCGCTCTATTGTTATCATAATAATACGGAAACAACCATATAATATTTATATAAATAAATAACATATAACTAAATCATAAAAATAATATAACAATAGATAGATAATCATAGTATAACAACATAAATAACATAAATAACAAAAATAATAAAATATAATAAAAAGTAATAGTAAAATATAATGAGTGTCTTCAAAATTTTATCAAGTTTCTTTGGTTTTAGAAATGTAGAAAAAGAAAAAGAAGTTTCAGATAATAGCGAGTTTATAAAAACATCAGATCTATTTGAACAAACATATTATCACTTTTATAATAATATTTTTTTCATTGATGATGTTTTTCAAGAGTTATCAAAAGAAGAATCATTTGGAACAAAGAAACAATTTTTTTTTAATTTAATTACTCTTAAAAGACACCTTTTATTAGAAGAGTTAAACGTAAATATTAATACAATTACATAAATAATAAAATCTTTAAATTCTCTTACACTTATATATTTCTTTTTTTTCTTTTTAAAATAATAAAGGGTGACGCAGTTATCGAATTATTATCAAATATTTTAGATCATTTTAAATTTAAAAATAATATACCATCATTAAAATTGTTTATTCATGAAGTTTACAATTACTTATATTTCAACAAAAGTATTCCTTTTAGCGAAGGAATTTTTAAATCTATTCTCGATGGTTATTTTGATAGTTTTATTTACGACTGCTTGGTAGAGTTTAATAGAAATGTTCATAAAGGAAAAGAGGCTTATGGAGGAGATTCAAATGCAAATCAACTTGATAATATATTTAAACAATTTCAAGCTTTTTGTGATGCTATTAAAAGAGAGTTACCAGAACCATTAATCACCAGGGTTTGTTTTATAAAATATAAAAAAAAAAAAAACAAAAAAATATATATATATTAACTTTTTTTTATTTTTATTTTAAAAGGTATCAAGAATTAAAAATAGAAATGGGTTAAACTTTGGTGATATTGATGTTTATTTTTTCGATATACCATCAAAAATTTTCTTTTATGTTGATGATGGCAATCAAAAAAAATTAATTAGAAATGAACTAATAAATTCGAAAAATAATGAAAATAATAGAAACGAAGACAATGACGATCAAAGTGAAAATGGAGGCAATTCTATTCATATCGATAGTGACGAGGAGCCCAGAGATAAATCACCAACTCAACAATCATCAGGATGGGTAAATAAAAAAAAACCAACTACAACAACAACCACATCATCAACATCAACATCAACATCTACTAAAGTATCATCAAAATCAGCAAATAAAAGAAAAGAAGAGCCAGAATCAGAATCTGATATTGATTATAATGATGGTTTTGAAAGTGCATTTCAAGATGACAAACCAAACAATGAATCTGAATCAAATGTCGAATCAGATTCCGAACCATCAGGAAGTGAATCAGAAGACTCATATTATGAAGACGATTCCGATTTTTCAGAAAAACTCGAGCCATCGGGTGCAGGTAAATGGGACGAAGCTGAGTGTAATAGATTGGCAAGAGGCCTATTAGTATTTGGACCAAGATGGACCAAAATTTCAAATACATTCCTTAGAGGTATAAGAAGTGAAACCCAAATCAAAGACAAATTAAAGTCAAGGAGCCATGAAACTTTTATAAAGGAATACCTAACCCCTAGTCAAACTAAAAAGTGTCTTAAACTTAAAAGTAAACTTGATAATCAAAAAAATTTGAAGTCGAAAAATAAGGATGAAATACTTAAAAAAAAGAACAGAGAAAAAAAAAGAAGATCAAGAGAGAACATAAAGAAAAGAAAAGAAGAAGAGTTAGCTAAAGAAGAAAGAAAGAAGAAAGAAAGTGAAAATGAAAAGAAGAGAAGAGAAGAAAGAAAGAAAAGAGAAAGAGAAAGAGAAAGAGAGGAAGAATCAAGTGATGAAAATGCAGAAGATGAAAGTAATGATGACGAAGAAGACATTATTAAAAGTGATGAGGATGTAATGATATCAAAAAGAAAAGAAAAAAAAAGAAAAGTAGAAACAAGTGATAAAGAAAAAAGAAAAAAAAAAAAGCATAAAAAGTCAAATGAATCTGATATTGAAACTGATGAATCTGACCAAGAGGAAGATCAAGAGGAATATATAAATAAAAAGAAGCATGACAAAAAAAAGAAACATAGAAAGAGTAAAAAAAATGAAGACGTAATTTCCATATCAGATAGCGAAGAAACCAACAATAGCGAAGAAACCAACGATAGCGAAACAGATTATGAAAAATCATCAAAAAAGAAATCAAAAAAAAATAAATAAAATATATATAAATATAAAATTAATTTTAATAGCATTAGTAACAATAATGGTATAAAAAACATTTATAACAACAATAATAATGTAATAATAAAGAAATGTTCTATGGTGATTTTTTTTTCATTTTGGATAAAAAAATAAAAAAAAGGTTTAATAATGATACTTTTTAAATATCATTACTATATTATATTTTATATTTATTTTAAATATTTTTCTTTTGTTCTTTTTTAATTATTGAAATTCTGTATCTTTGTATAGCTTTGAAAATTGATAAGATGATATTGAACAAAATGAAAAGAACAAGCCATCCTGCGGTAACACCCACAGTTATATTGATATATTTTGTATGTAAAAATGGACACATTTGGAATTCATATTCGAAAATTTCTTTTTCTTCTATATTTTTGTCGTTATTATCGTTATTAGTAGATGAGGATTTGATTTTTCTAAACTCGAATAATGCAGAGTATCCGTCATATGAGCCCATCATAGATCTAATTGTGTACTCCATTGTGTTACTATTTGTATGCTTGTAAATGCAGCCTTCGTGATCATGGCCATTAAAGATGAATGCTGGTTTGATTTCGTTTAATATAAAATCTGTAGTTTCTGGAGTTAGCATAGTTTGATCTTTTATGAAACCTTGGTTGGTATGGTGGATAATATATTCTTCTCTGCATAAGTATGGATGTGTTTTATAGGGTTCTTGGGTTCTATCTATAGCTTTAATATCTTTATATAATGGGATATGAGTCACTATAATTAGGGGTGATTGAGTAGCTTCCGCATCATGCTTTAATTCTCTTAAATGATCCCATGCTTCTTTTTGAAAATGTTCTGTCATTGAGCCATCCAAATTGATTGAATTTAATACACCGATTAAATGACCACCGAAAAAAAACTTGTCATTGACACGGCCAAATGCTTCTTCAAATCTATTAATTCTACGATCTGTTACTTCGTTTGCATAGCCTACGTCATGATTCCCTGTAATATTAACTATCTTTACATAATCTTTTAATGGTGAAAATATATTGTCATATCTTTTGACTCTTTTTTGAAACTCTTCATCCGTTATATACTGTGATGAAAATAAGTCACCCAATACCACCACCATCATTGGGTTTAAAAAATAGTCTATACTATTAACTATATGCTTCATATAATTATCATTAAAAAATATATTATATTCCCCTTTTAATCCCTCTCTTCTAATTCTTGCATCACCTTCCATCTGAGGGTCACCCAACATTATAATTTTAGTAGTATCAGCTAAATAATAAAAAAATATTAATATTATGTTTAAATATATACTAAACAGATTATTATTATAGTTTTAATTCTATACTTTACCATTATCGTCATATTTCCATCTGCATAATACCATATAATTATATATATAAAGATGTAAACATAATAAACCAAAACCAAAAATAATAAATAATTTATTTAAACAATTCATTTTTTTATTTATAAATTAAAAATTTGTCATTATTTATAAATATTTAGAAAATGATAAAAATTTAAAAAAAAAATCATGAGTGTGTTGTTTTAAAAAAATTAAAAAAAAAAATAAAATAAAATAAAAAAAAATAAAATAAATTATTTTTTAAATAAAATTTTTTTTATTTTAAATGGTAATAATAAATTACTTTAATTATTACTGTTTTTATTATAATATTTAATATTACAATAATTAAATATGATTTGATTAATTTAATTTAATTTAATTTAATTTGATTTGATTGATTTGATTATGTTTATTGATTATGTTTTTTTTTTTTTTTTAATTGGATTTCTTTGAATAATCAGTTTTGTAACCATACCATTTTGAGATAAATGATAATTTATCATTAGCGGTAATTTTGGTTCTACGGGTATTGAGAGTTGTTGTTAATGATTTAAAGTTTGTATCAAACCATTCAACAGTTTCAGTATCAATGCCACCAGCATTTAAGTAAGTTTTTAAGTTGTTTTCTTTTGGTAATGGTGCTAAACAGGTTCTACTAAGGTAACTAATTTGAATACCATTTGAAATTTGAGAGCAGACTTTGAAAAGATGTAAAAAGAGGCTACCAACTGATGGATAACATGGTGAATAAATGCTGAAGTGGTATGAAATACCGACAACGTGGAACATATCAATATTCTTTATAGTTTTATCAGATGAGATTACAGGTGAAATTTCTAATAAGCCTTGACCATTTGAGGTAGTACCTTCTGGGAAAATTAATAATGGTCCCTCGATCCAACTATTTGAAACTCTTTGGATTAATTCATCGGTTGGAACTGAATTCTTTGTTAATTGGATTGGTGATGAAATTGCATTTCTTAATGCTCCAGCCAATGTCAATGGTATTAGTTTACCAGCAACCAATTCTTTGCTATCATTTGGTGGTACTGCAAATAATGGTGAAAATTTGTATTGAAGATAAATAATGTCAATGTATGAACTATGATTGCATATAATGACATCACTTGTTTTATATTGTCCAATTGAACCCTTTGGCTCTTTTGATCTTGATAATGTATCTGTACCTTCATCTAATGTAAAAAAACCCATAAATAATAATATTAATCTTCCTAAAAATTTATCAAAACATCTAATTAAAACTCTACTAAAGAAACCTAATGGTAACTAAAAATAAACAATGGTTAGTAATAGCGCAAATAGACCAAATATTTAATTAATTATATATCCTACATACTGCTTTAAATAATTTATTAAATAAAACTAATAAAATTGTTAAAATTATAACAATGAAAAATCTAACAACACCAACAATTGGTCCAATGAGGAATTTAAAAAACAATCCAATGGGTCCTACTGGTTTGCTTTTTGGTGGTAAAAGTGGATGAATACCTGTTGGTCCATCTCTCCAGTTTGAAAACTTTTCCATCTTTTATGTTATTAGGATAAATGTTACAAAAATAAAAATGAATTAAAAAAAATTTGAAAAATTAAAAAAAATGAAAATAAGTGAAAATAAAAAAAAAATAAAATAAAAATTAAAAAAAAATAAATTTGGATTTTCACACACTATATACACACCCATTTGTTTGAAAGATAAAGAATAAATCTTTTGATTTTATTCTTTTTTTTTTCTTGTTTTTAAAAAAGATTTTATATTTTTTTATTATTATTTTAATTATCTATATTGTTGTTATTACTATTAATTATTTATTATTTAAAATATTATATTATATTTTTTTTTTTTTATTATTTGTTATTTTTAAATTTAATTTTTTTTTTTTTACAATTGTAAATCTAAAACGATTTTTCTTCCATTACCACCTTGTTGTGATTTTTCTAAAGCAGCTTCAAAGTCGCTGAATTTGTGTTTTTCAATCATAAGTTTGAAGTTTTGTTTACGGTAGAGATCGAAAATGTTATTGATGATTTTAGTTCTGTCTGCAAGTGAGTTTTCAGAGATCCATCTGTTTAACCAGAAACCTTGGGATTTAATATTTCTAAAGACTAAGTGTGAAGTTGGAATAACAACTGGTTCACGTGACATACCACCATAGGTGACAATAGTGCCATTATCGCCAAGGATACGGACTAATTCAGTAGCTGAGGCACCACCAACAGCGTTTAAGGCTAATTTTGGTCTTGGGAGATCTGCAATTAATCTTTGAAAAGCTGGGGTACGAATATATTTGTCACTGACAACAATGTCACCACCTAATTTTTTAATACGATTAACATTATCTTCGAAATCTGGGCCGTTACGAATAACATTGATGGTTTTAATACCACGAGATTTGGCAATTTGAACAACTGATAAACCAACCATTGAATTTGCTGCATTTTGAATAATAACATCACCTTCTTGTAAATTAACGAAATCTTTTAAAAGAATGTAAGCTGTAGTTGGATTAATTGAAACAGTTGCTAAATATTCTGCTGGAATATCAGCTGGTGCTTTAATTAAATCTTTTTCTTTGAAAAGACCTTGAGTTCTCCATGAACCAACTATAATTAATTTATATATTAGTATATTATTTATATTTTTATATTAAAATTTTATTATTATTATTATTATTATTATTATTATTATTATTATTATTATTATTATTATTATTATTATTATTATTATTATTATGATGATGTTTGCTGTTTCTATTTGATGGTCATTGTTGGTGTAACATTCTGTTTTTTTTTTCTCTGTGTGGCTATTCACCATCCTCTTTTATTTGTTATTTTTGTTTTTTTATTCTTTTCTACTGTATATCCATAAAAATCACCTGTATTTTCATTTTATAATTCCTGTTGCAGCTATGTATTATTTTTATTATTACTATATCATTATTATTATAAATATTTTATATAATTGAACCTGTTGATGTATACTTTACAGTGTGAATTAAGTGATGGAATAACTATATCATTTTCTTTAAAACCTGAAACTTGATTACCAACATTTTTGACAATACCAACACCTTCCATACCAGCAACTGATGATACTGGGACTGAAGTACCATAGGTACCTTTAATAAGATTAATATCAGCTGGATTGATTGGTGCATGAAGCATTTCAACTAAAATATCTGATCCTTTAACAGCTGGAATTGATTCTTCTTCAATTCTGTAAAAATAATAAATTACATTAATTTTAAGTTTATATTTATAAAAAATATAAAAATTGAATTTTAATGATCATTGCAACTGCAATAATAAATTTGGTGTGTGGGTGTGATTTTGATTTTGATTTTGATTTTGATTGCTTTTTTTTTTCTCACTAAATATTTTATTGATTTTAAACTTACTTTAAAACTGAAGTTGGATCACCATTTTGGGTAATTTTAACAGCTCTTGAAGTTGTATATTGACGAACGAATCTGGTTAATAATCTAGTATTCAACATTTTAAATTATATATATTAATAATAATATGAACACACACACAAAAAGTAAAAAAAAAATTTTAAAAAACAAAAAAAAAATTTTAAAAAATTAAAAAAAAATGAAAAAAAAAATAATTTTTAAAAAATATTTAATAATTTTTTTTATTTTTTTATTTTTTTTACATGGTACATAAAACGAATTTCAGTTTCGTATTTTTCATTATTTTTTTTTTAATTTAAAATTATACAATTAAGTTTTTTCTATAACCAAAAAAAAAACAAACAAATAATAATAATAATATTATTATTTTAGAAATAGTATTATCATTTTAACTAAATGTTTTTTAAAAATTATTATTTATTGTAAAAAAAAACACATTTTTTTTATTTTTATTATTTTTTTTTAAATTTAATTTTCTTTTAAAAAATGAATAATAGCAATAGTAATAACATAAATAATAATAATAATAATAATAAAAACAACAGCAGTAATAGTAGTGATAATACTAACAATGGTAATAATAAAATTTTAATAACGTATGGGTTAAAAGAAAAAAGCGAAAATAAAGATAAAGACTATCAAATTCCATTGCGTTTTAATAGAATCCCAAATTTTAGAAATTCTTATTATAACTCAAACTATGCAAGGGATAAGCAAAAGCAGGGTGAGAAAGAATTGGATGAGGATAAAAGGATAAAACAACAAAAGCCCCCAAATAATGGTTCGCCAAATAATGGGTTAAGCAATAAAGAAAAAGAAAAAAGAGCTAGTGTATCCCTTGATTTTTCCAAAAAATTACCACAAAAAAGTGTTCAATCATTTTTACATAAAGATAAAATACAAAAACAGCATAAAGAATTAGAGAATAATAGTGATAGTAAAAGTAATAATGATAATAATGACAATAACGATAATAATAATAATATTAGCAATTCCTCGACAGCTACCAAAGATACATACAATGGCAATGCAGAAAAAGTTAAAATACGTAAACCAAGAACAAAAAAAAATAAACCACAAAAGCTTGATTATCAAGCCACCCCGGTCAACGAAAATAATTGCAGCGATAATAGTTTTAAGCAAAATGTAAATACGAATAATAGAAATCAAACTGTAAATAATAATAATAATAATAAATTTAAGGATATTCTTCAATCAAATAGAACGGGACCAATATTTAGAGTTGATAATGATTCATTTGAAATAAAATTAAATATAACCAAAAACACATCAACACCAATTTCAACACCAACAATCGCATCAGAAAAAAAAATTAGTATAGCAAACGAAAAAGAAGAAGAGATTTTAGTTGTAAATAAAATAAATGAAAAACAAAATACATTCCCACCATTGTTCCCACACTATAATAAATTTACAAATGTTCATGCATCAGTATCGCTTCATAACCCATTTATTAGATCAGATCATGGTTTTAGGTTCATTTTATATAAATTTCCACATCTAAGAGCAAATAATGTCAAATCTCAAAATTTTAGTCGAAATTCAACTTTATCAAATATATATTTCGATGTTAAAACCTCAATAACTCAATCCAAAAAGAATATTACCCAGTTTTTAAGAGAAAATCAATTTTTAGACCCTACAATCGAAAGTTTTTGCCACAATGAAATTTTAAATAAAACCCATAATTATAGCAATAATAATAATATTAATAAATATAATGAAGGTGATAGCATTAATATAAATAATGATATAAATAATATAAATATAAATAGTGAACCATTTGAACAGCATCAATCATCTCATCAAACTAAAAAACCAATTCAAAATGTTAGGGAAAGTAAACCAAGAGCATGTACCAAGGAAGGTTTTAATGCACAAGCAGCTATTAATAGGGATCCAGATGAATATCATGATGAAGATGACGATTTAGATATTACTGACGGAGATGACGACTATGAACCAACAGACGAGGATGATTTTGAAGAGGATTCTTTTTTTACAGATTCAGAATTTGAAGATGATTTAAAGAAACCTAAACGAAAATCAAAAAAATCAGATAGCAAGACAACGAGCGATTATAAACAACTGGAAATAGATCCACTAGTTTCAAATTATATAGATAGAAGTATGCAAAACAATGAAAGAGTGTTTGGTGGTAATCGTTTAATTTATGAAACCATTGGAAGCGAAAGGTTATTAATTTTATCAACTGGTCCACTTATGAATATTTTATCACTCTATAATTTAGAAAAACAATTTCCAATAGAATATGACTACTTTGACCACTCTTTGGCATATTACGAAATACCTCAAACAATTTTAAGTATTTCAGTTTCAACTATATCATCAAGTAAGTCTTATATTACAATATATTATAGGTTTATTTATAAATAATTAAAATAATAAATTTTTTATTTTATTTTTTATTTTTAGATATCAAAATAATTTATTTAAAAACCAAATATTCAGTTTATTATTTCTCAATGGTTTATAAAGAGGATAACAAGTTAATATCACTATCACTATTAAATAATTACCTATTTTCTGATAGAGTAATGGATATTTGTATTTCAAAAAAAACAATTAACGAATCATATGTATTATTAGAGAATTCATCAATTTTTAAATTGTCATTCAATTTAACAATGGTTTCAAATAATCTTGTTGAAATTAAACCATTTGAATTAATACCACCATTAAAAGAAGAAAATGAAAAGGAAGAAGGGGGTGTTGATACAAGCAAAAATAATATTGGTGATAATCACAATAACAACGGTGATATTAATAATAATGATAATTGTACCAATAATAATAATAATAATAATATAAACAATAATGGCAATGAAAATGAATCAATTGGTAATGAAGATAAATTTGGTAGTGGTGTAGAACAACTATCACAGAAAAATAAAAAATATCATTGGATCAGATTCAAGTTAAATTCAGCAGAAAATCAAATTATTTGTGCCCACACCGATAAAATATTATTGTTTGATTTAACAGTAAGTAGTAGATATATTTAGTTTAATAGTAATAGTTTTTTAATAATAATTATCATAATAATTTTTTATTAAATAATTGCCTATAAATTTTGAAATTTTAATATTAATTTTTTTTTTTTTATTAATTTAGTCAAAAAATATTAAAGTAAGAATTTTATTAACAACAAAAGAAGATGAAAAGGGTATTATAAATGGCATAGAGTTGATAGAGGGATATTCATTTCATATTATAGTTTCAACAGTTAAATATTTATTTTTGTTTGATGTCAGGTATCCAGAGAATCCTTTAATATGTTGGAGAAACCCAAAAGAACATCATCATACAAGCGCATTTGGTGGTGGAGTTACTGTATCATCACATCAACATTTAATACAAAAAAGAGATGATTTGGTCTTTATTTTAGTTCAAAATAATATTAGTGGCGAAATATTTATATTTCAATATACTTTTGGTAGGGCTCCAACATCTTTATCAATACCTTTTATTCCTATACTTGGTAAAAATAATAGTATGTCAACTCATTTCTTTGAAAAGCCTTTCCAAGCTTTATTAAATACCAATCACAATTTAGATAGTAGCGGTAATCAAAAGAAGGGTGCAGGTGATCTTAGCGAGGCTTATCAGGCTGTTCCGTGCTCGATTCCATTCACACCAATTCCATCATTTGGCGAAATCAATCAAGATAGAAATTTTAATAACTTTACTCTTAATCCATACACAAGTTATCCATTGTTTGGTGTTTGTATGGTTCCAACAGAAGTCCATAATCTTATTGGTATTACTATTTTACAATTAAGTGCATTTGGTGAAATCACAACAACAGTATATTTACTTCAAGATATTATCTCAACTGAAGCTAAACATGATCTTTTAATGGACCATAAACACCGTACTGAACAACTCTTAAAGATCGAAAAACAAAAGCTAGCATATCAAAGATCATTATTATATTTAAAGTTCCCTTACCAAAAAGATAAAGTTGAAAAAATTATGAAAAAATATAATCAGAAATTAAATTGTAAAGAAGTTCAAATTAAAAAACCAGAGAAAGAACAAGAAAAAGAACAAGAAGAGCATGAAAAGGAACAAGAACAAGAACAAGAAAAAGAACAAGAACAAGAACAAGAACAAGAACAAGAACAAGATGAAAATGAAATAGATGAACTTATTAAATTATCCAAAGATGAAATTAATGAAATCGAAGAGGTATTTTCGACATCATCCTCTTCATTTTCACCAACAGCATCAGTTGTTTTTAGTTTATTTTCTAAGGATCAACTTTATGACGAAGAGAAATCAAAATTGGTCCCATTTTTAGATTTTTCAAGAACACTTCAACAGCATATTAGTCTCCAAAAATTATTTGATAGAATCTCAAATCAAAATTATTACTCTCAAATACCAGCATATAAGAAATATACAAATATTAAAACCAGAGCCATACCTGAAAATTTCAGAATTGTTGAAAAGTCTTCAAAACAGCCATGGAATTATAAAGATTTTGACGAATCTACTGTATCTAATGCCATTAGAGATATATTGGAAACCGGTCCTAAAACACTGTATGAATTAATATTTTCATTGGATGGTTTCTTCACCAAAGAGGATATTTTGCTTTTCTTGGATCTTTACTCTGTAGATGTAGAAAATGAAAATGGTGGCAATAAAATCGAAGAGTTTTCAAACATTAGTACTAAGCCAATCTTTAAAACCAAAATCAAACCAAACTCAACTTTACTAAATAGAAACAAAACAGAGTTTTTAGAAATCGATCAAATGGAGAATCAAGATTTTATCTCTCAACACTCAATAGTTTATCATTTAGATCCATTCTTTTCAATTACAAAGCTGGTATCACAACCTTTGTTTTTAAATTCTAGAAATAGATTTATGAGTAGAGGTTATAAGAGTAAAGATTCAGTAATTTCAAAATATGATAAAATTTATAATCTAGGTCCAAAAGAAACATTAGAGGCAAAGCGTTTAGAATTACAAAAAAAAAGATTACAAAAAGAAGGCGAACAAAATAATGATGAGGAAGATGATGATGATGATGAAAATTTACCCCAAACAATCGAAGATATTTTCAAACAGGAGCAACTAGAAAAAGAAAAGCAATCTAAAATGGAAAAAGATAAAAAGAAAAGAAAGAATCATCATAGGGTGGTTGTTAGAAGTTCATTTTATCCTGATGATTGGAAAAAAGAATGGATTGATGGTTTTTCAGAAATTAATTCGGATTCAACTTTAATTTTAAATAAATATCAACAATTTGTCGAAAAACCAAAGGAAAAAGAAAAAGAAACTGGCAAAAGCTCAAGTAATAAATCACCAAATAAAAAGAGACGATCAATTAATGATATTAATAAACCAATTCCAACCTCACCATCTCCTAGTAAGAAAAATAAATCAAAAGATATTGCTAATAATGAACCATCCTATAATTTTTCTTCGCAAATGTCAAATGGTGGTTTTATGTCTGGTGGATTTGGTAGCATCTTTTCACTTCAGAATTTATCGCAAAGTTCTTTTGCATATGGTCAAGAACCATCACAACAACCTTCATCACCATCTCAAAACCAATCTATTCCACCTTCACCAGCTCATCATAACCAGCCAACATCACCACCACTCGCCCAACCACTCCAATCTGCTGCATCGGATTACAATTTCTTTTCGTCACAATCTGCAGCCAGTGTTAGTTCAACTAGTGGATTTGCAAATATTTTTAATACAGGTTTCCTTTCACAGTCTTCAAATTCTTTAGATAATATTTTCTCTCAAAATTCTTTAACTAGTAATATTAGCAACCCTTCACAATTATATAAAGAGAATAGTAATAAAAATACAGACAACACAAATAAAAATAATACTAATAACGAAAAAAATAATGAAAAAAATAATCTTGATGAACCAACCTCATATCTATCCCAAGAAGCTGCATCAGATTATAATTATTCCCAACCTCCAAGCTGCCAAAATCAATAATCCAAAATACAATAAAGTTCTATTAAAAAAAGATTAAATTTTTTTTTTAATTATAAAAAGGTTATAGATTTATACAATAATTTTATTTACAAAGTTTTTTTTTTTTTTTTATTCTTTTCCGTTTGAAGGAAAATAATAATATCCGTCTAATAAAATGGGGAAAACACGTTCCAATAAAGTTTCAGGATCCTTGATTAAAGAAATGGCGTAGGCTTTATTTTTATTGAGCGTATAGTTATTTTTGAAAACTTCACCTATTATACCATTCTTTTTTTTTCTTGAATCAGATTCAAAATAAAAAATATAAACATTTTCATTTGTGATTTTTTGAATCTGACAATACCATTCATCAGCCTCACCTCCATAAATGCAATAATGGTAATTTGGTTTATATATCCTGCCATTAATTCTAACAAATGAATATATTTCTTCTTTTGAACCATCCATAATTTTTCCAAATGTAATATGGGGGGGCTTCATCGATTTTTCATTAATTAAGTTAAACTGTTTGCTCAAATTTTCGATATATTGATTTGAGTGTTCAGCGATACTAAATATTTTATTTCTGTTTAGTTCTAAATAATATAATTATTAATATTATATTGGCTTTTAAAATAAATATTTAAACCTACCTTTATTATAAGATACTATACTGTAATAAATCGGTGAGCCATACATAGAAATGAGGAATCTCCAATGCTTTGAAGAATGCAGGTTTAAAAGAATTTTTTCTTGATTATCTTTTACAAAAAACTCCTTATAAATTTCCATGAATAATTTATGATGATCGATAATGTCATTATTCAATTGACTTAAATCTTCCTCTACAAATGACTCTTTTTTTAATTTAAAGAAATATTTTAAATGAAGAAATAGACATTTAGAATGATTTGCTGTCAATATTTCTTTTGATTGCAATTCCAAAACGAACTGAACAAATAGGTTTGTGTCTTCAACGAATGGAATGGTTTCAAATTTATTTAAACTTGAAATAAGACCTAAAATTAATTAAAAATTAAAATTAAAATAAATATTATTAAACTGATACAAAAAAATACTAAAATTATTTTATATTATTTATTTTACCTTTTAGTTCGATAAATTTTCCATTGGAGATTTGGATTTTTTTTTGTTTTGAGTTTTTTATAATGACATCTAATAATTATAAGTTAATATTTTTAGAGAAAAACCAAAAAATATTATAAATAAATTTATTTATACTTACTTAATAAAAAACTGAGTTCGGAAAATAATAAATCAAGCTCTTTTATAAATAGGATGTCCATTGGGTTGTATAAATCTTTAAAGTTTAATAGAAAAAAAGGAATTGAAGAGTAATCTATACCCAAAATTGCTTTAAACAATGTGAAAAAATGATCCACTGTGGGTGGATCTGCTATCTTTTCTTTCATTCTTCTTAGAAACAAAGGAGTAAAATTATCATCAATACTTTTTCTTAAATAATCTTGATCAAAGTTTATAATTTGATTCTTTGGGTGCTCACAGAGACAGCAGGGCTTTTCCGGTTTAGAAAAGATCTGTGAAAATAAATCACTTGCTTGGGAATTGTTCCCTGAAACATCCAATACTGTAAACTTTATTGAAAAGAAAGAACTATATTGTGGATTATTGTCATACGCCCCCTTGATGTTTGAAAAACCTAAGTTATTATATTGATGTGGTTCATGTTTTGAAAGTTCACTTTGGGATTTTAATATTTTATGAAAATTTGTATTATTATTTAAATGTTTGCAAACATCATCATCTTTTTCTTTTATTTCCTTTTCTTGTTCATTTTGCTGATGCTGATCCCTTTTATTTTTTAGCTTTTCTTCATTAATGATTTTATTTAAATTTGATATAAGTTGATTTATAAAGTTTTCATTTAAACCAATTTTACTTTCAAGCTCTTTAATTCTTTTGTGTTTTGTATAGAATTCTTTTCTTGAAACCGCTTCTTCAATAGCCTTTACTGGTAGGGGATTTGATTTATCAGTTGGATCTATAGGTGGGATTTTGATAGTGGCATAGACTTCTTCACGAGAATAGAGCAATGGTTTTAAAATATTTACAAAAGCTTCTTGAAAAGAAACGCATAAAGGAAAACATCCAAGATAAAACCTTTGATTTACTGAGCAGCTTACTGTGTTGCCAATAGATGTATAAACTACATTACACAAACCTCCATCAATTTCTTCGATGTCTATATTTATTTTTAACACTATGTTTAATGACTTTGAGTTTTCATTAAATATACGGAAAAAGTGTTGGGAGGACGAGTAGAGCGAAAAAGTAACAGAATCAATTGGGTAAAATGAAATGTCATTAACTAGATCTGTTAATAATATACATTTAAACAATTCTATAATGTCAAATGACCAATAGGTGTGAGGTGATAGACTATCTTTAGTGCACACACATGAGTCTGGGTTTATACAGTTTGATTTCTAAAAAAAAAAAAATTATTATGAAATTAATAATTATTAAAAAAAAATATTATTTTAAAATATTTACAAAGATTATAGGCTTTAGTTGAAAAGGAAGGTTTATAAAGTTCTTTTCGAGGGTCTTTAAATCTGAGCTTTGTAAAGCTTCAACCAGCTTTTTGTTTTCAAATATCTTTTGAATTGTATTTATTGATATTTCATCTTCAGCTAGCGTTGTATAAATATATTTTAAATTTTCTAATATTAAAATAATATAAAAATTATTAACTATAAATATACCATAGTGTAATAATGGTAAATAAATAATATAGTTACCTTGGTCATTTACTTTAATTTTTGGAAATTTGTTACTATTTTCATTATGACTAAGTTTTATTTTCTTTGGATTACAATGGTAGTCATCATTACTTTTGTTTTTATTTACATTTTTATTTACATTATTATTATTTTCATTATTATTTTTATGATTATTTTCTTTATTTTTTTTATGATTATTTTTATGATTATTATTATTTTCATTATTATTTTCATCATTAATTTTATGATTATTTTCATTATTATTTTCATTTTTAATATCTATCCTTTTAATTACATGTTCTACAATTTTTTCTTGATTATTTGTTTTAGAAAAAAATGTATCCATATCAATAACTGAATTGAATCGCTTTCTGTAAAATGAAGTTTTTTTAAGAATTATTTTATGTCTGATACTGCTTTTGTGGTTTGATAAAATATCTTTAAGATCATTCTTAATAAATATATTATCTACTTCCATTAATTTATGGTCAATTGGATAGTTACATTCAAGACATTTTTTGAAATGAAATAGAAAATGTAGTTCCACATCCTCTAATTCTTTTAGAATATCTTTATTTAAAATACAATTTTCTACAATGCAACAATTTGTGTGATTGTTATCATTGCTATTATTATTATTTATTGTATCGGTAATAATTATTTCCATCTTATAATATGAAAAAAATGTGTGTTTGCGCCTTTAATGAATTTTAAAAAAAAAAATAAAAAAATAAAAAAATTTGAAAAAAAATTAAAAAACTTAAAATAATTTATGTATTCTGAAAATATATAAAAAAATACAAAAAATTTTAATAAGGATAAACCACACCAAAAATAATAAATAAAATAAATCTTTGTTCTATACATATTGATTTATATTTATGATTGGTTTATTTATTTATAAATATATAAACACCCAATACTTTTATTTTTTAAAAAGTTAAAATGGCATCAACACCAGATAATGGACTACCCATTACAGAAGACATAGAATAATCAATAAGACTAATAGTAAAGTATTGATATTTATCTAAAGAAGAATAAAGAGCAAGAGTTAAATATTCGTTATTCAAGGTAACATAGTTGATTGGTTGGATGATATTTTTTGGATCATTGGCAATGTTAAAGAATTCAAATAATGGAAGACTATCTATAACACCCTCTATAATTGCAAACAATTCAAATTGAACGGAATTAGCAGTAGACATAGTTGAGATCAAATATTTTGTGGAATTAAAGACAACAGGAATATTTATATCAAATGGGTTATAAGTAGTGGTCATAATACATCTTTCTGGAACTGTTGGAACTAAGGAATTTACATCAACCGAGCCAAAAGTAATACAATGGTAATTCGAAACATAGGAGTAGTAAAATGATGAATTGAAATAATCATAACCACCACTAAAATAAGAACCATCTAAAATTTGGTTTTCACCTATATTTACAAGAGTACTAAATAAAAAAATAAATTAGTTATAAATAAATATTAATCCAATAAAATATAAATATTTATTTTATTTATTTATATATATATTATACATACTAAATTGTATTTTTAAAATCTAATTTTAAATAATAAAAATAATTTGTACTGTTTTTACCATAGATTGTAAAAACATTATTAAGGGATGGGGCATTAGTTAATATTTGTTGAAATGAAAATGTTACATCATTTGTATTTGGAAAGTTGATACTAGAAATAACTTTATTAGTTTGTGTTTTAAAATCAAAGCTATTAAAATTAAAAGTTCCAACTTGATTAGATATATAGGTAACACTTTCAGTATCGATAGATGTAATTGCGATAACAGTATCAAGTGGAGCTGATATAGAATCAATTAAACTACCATTAGTTAAACTATAGAATTGAAATTGTGATACAAATGCACCATTTTGAAATGTTACCACTTTAGTTGGTACTGATGAACCCTTAATTATTACAATTAGAGAGATTAATAATATTATTGATTTATACATTTTATTATTTATTTATATTATTTATATTATTTAATATTTTAAAAAAATAAAAAAATAAAAAAAATAAAATTATTTATAGGTTTTTAAATTTTATATTATTGCACAAAAAAAAAAATCAAAAGTAAAATCTTGATTTTTATAAAAAAAAAGAAAGAAAAAAAACTCCAAAAAAACTCCTAAATATCCAAGTTTTTAAAAATGATGTAATAGTTAAAAAATATCTTCGTAAATTATAAAAAAATATAAAATTATAATAAATTTTATATTAAAATTTGTGATAGCATCCAGATATTCAAAAAAAATATTAAAAAAAAAAAAAAAATGGATCTTTTAGTTTATAAAAAACCTTCTTTTTTTATAAAAAAAAAATAAAAAAATAAAAAAAAAAAGAAAAAATAAAAGTAATTGTAAAAGTAATTTTATTTTTAAAATTAAAAAAAATTTATTCGTTATGTATATGTATAAACAACTAATTTGTTTATTTTTATAAGTTGCAATAAAAAATTTACATAATATTAAATTGTTACTATTAACAATTTATTAGGTTTCTAATTTCAGGAGTTATATTGACTGGTCTAATATAGATTTTATCAATTTTGCCGCAGAATTCGTCCCAATTTTCTTTGCCCGATATGTTCAATTCTATTTCCGATTCTTGTTGTTTTTGTTGTGAGTAGTGAGAGAATGATATTGAAAATGACATTAATGTGAAGAGGTTTGATAGTTCTTTTCTAAGTTCATTTAGATTGTTGATGTTTGAAAGATTGATGGTTTTTGTTTCACCACCTTCTATAAGGCAACTAACATTGTTTGATTTATATTTTTTAGTTGGTGAGTATGAATATCTTTCATTATTATTATTATTATTGCTATAAGAATTATAATTAATATTACTATTTTGGTTATTATGATTATTATTATTATTATTATTATTGTTATTATTATTATAGTCGCCATAGATGTCTTCGTCGTTATTAAAGTCGTTCAATGATGATGAGGAAGAAGATGGTGAAATGGTTTTAAAGTTTTGGTACATTGGTTGAGTGTGGTTAAAGTTTTGGATTGGCGAAAATTTAAATTTGATGAGTTGGTTGGAGTAT